TGGTGTTGTTCTGCAAACAGAAAAGCAAGGTGGGAAGGTGAGGTATTTTGTTTCGTTTTGGTTTGGTTTGGTGTGTTTTGGTTTGATTTGGTTTGGTTTTCCAGGACAGGGTTTCTCTGTCTAATAGTCCTGTCTATTCTGGGACTTGCTTTATAGACTCAAACTCACATTGATCCATGTGCCTCTGACTCCCAAATACTAGGATTAAAAGTGTGTGCCCCCACTGCCCACTCGGGATGGAGTTTTTAAAGGAGGTGAGGAAATGGAGCAAGCTTCTGCACTTAAGAAAAGCATCCATTTGCAGGAGCCAGAGTGGACAAGGACACCATAAAAACCCACAGAATCAATTAACCTGAGCTCACAGGGACCCACAGACACTGACCTTTCAACTAGGAAGCCTGCATGGGGCTGACCTAGACCTGCTGCGTATATGTTACAGTTGTGTAGCTCGGTCTTCGTGTGGGAATTCTGACAGTGGTAGCAGAGGTGGTCTCTGACTCTTTTGCCAGCTTTTGGGAACCTTTTCTTCCCACTGGGTTACCTCATCTAGCTTTAATACGAGGGGAGGGGCCTAGTCTTACTGCAGCTTGAAATGCCATGGTTGGTTGATATCCATGGGAGGTCTGCCCTTTTCTGAAGAGAAACCAAGGAGGAGTGGGTTAGGGGGGAAGGGGAAGGGGGTGAAGCTTTGAGTAGAAGGGAGGGGAAACTGTGGTCAGGATGTGAAAAATAATTAAAATAATATTTCTCCAAAAAGTTACAAAAAGATAAAAGTATCCATGACTATGGAAGAAAAGATTCAAGGCAAGTGACACTTGGGGATATAGTTGGAGGAAAGTTGTGTTTGTTTCTTTTTAAAGGAGCAAAAGTTAAGCATATTTAGGGGACCAACGATGTGGCTCAGGTGGTAAAGGTGTTTGCTGCCAAGCCTGATGACCTGAGTTCCATACCTGGTAACCCACACAGTAGAAGAAGAGAGCCAACTCCTGTCAAGCATGTGTGTGTGTGCACACGTACACGTACATACACACACACACACACACACACACACACACACACACACACACACAAAATCAATCAATGCATATATGTTATAAAGACCTGAATTGGGTCAGGTGTGTGGTGAGTTACAGGAAAAAGAAGAATGTGAACATACCCAAATGCTAATGAAAAGACTTTAGTAAAAGGAGTAGTTCAAGAAACAGACAGGAAAGAGCCATATAGTAGCTCATAACCATCTGCAACTTCAGTTCCAGAAGATCAGATGCCCTCTTTTGACCTAATTGGGTACTGCATGCCCAGGGTGCACAGATGCACATGCAGGCAAAACACTCATGCAAGCAAAATAAAATAAATCAACCTTCTATTTAAAAATCCCTGTATATATTCTTTTCAAAAGAAAGAAAATAGTTTCCAGGGAAGTGAGAGGCCGTGGGTTTAAAAGCATTTAGGTGGATGGATTACATTTGAACTAGAGAATTAAAAACTTTCCTTTTTTTTTCAAGATAAAAGGTTTTTCAGGAGAATAGAAGGTGTGGAGATGAAACTGTATGACAGTGTAAAGGGAAAACAGAAAAATCAATGCTTCATCTAATTACCTACATGTTCATAATATAATAAGAAGTGCACTCTTCTGCTTAGAATAAAGTAAACCATGAAAATTAGCTAGAGAATTGAAGTGGGGCAGAGATAATTGAAAGCATGAAGGTTAGCTCTGTATAGGAACCATAACTGTATATAAAGGAAAGCTGTAAGTGAGAGAAGTAGATCGCAGTAGAAAGAATCAGAATAGAGAGGCCATACCGTCTACTGACCTTGCGGGATAAGAAAGAGCCTCTAAATATTGATCATTTAGGGAGGTTGGTTTCTTGGTAGATGTTAGGACTAAAGCTGATGCCTAATGAATATATTTAAGCTCATGTGATCATCAAACTTTATCTGAAGATCACAGGAAGTGACAGTTCCAATGTACCCAGCATTGGACAAAACACAGAGAGCACCATGTGCATTCCTGAAGGCTTTATTTTTACAGTGGATATTTGCAACACGTGATCTATCCAGAGGACAGCCAACAAATCCCCAAGGAGTGATAGAGCATTTGCCTAGCGTGTGAAAGGTTCTGGGTTTGATCAGAAGTACTGCAGAGATATAGAGATAGAGAGATTACGAGGATTGGGGGGAGGGCTAGAGGGAGCCATGAACTGATGTAGGAAATGAGTGTGCCTGGTTACAGAAGGATAGGACAGCTATTGTGAGACACTTGACTAAGCGACTCCTGTTCCATATGGCAGAAATGAGATTACTGCATAAAAGTTAGAAGATTGTGATTCTTTTCTAGCCGTGATAAAATGTGAACTTGTCTCCTGTTTTCAGTAGACACAAAATAAACAGCTACTTTCCTCTGGATTTTAGAAAGGCTACCCTCCAAGACTAACCTCCTGAGATGTTAATGAGAAGAGAGAGAAGTTGTTCAGGGCCACAGACCCCCCGAGTGGATTTGTAGACATTTCTGAAGGATTCTTTCCTCCCTAAACTGTATAGCTAGACTCGAGTAGAAGGCCTTCTCCCTGACTCATGCTACTGGGGAAGAGTTAGTCACTGACTCTAAAAATAGAAGGGAGCTTGAAAAATAGTTCAAAAACGATCACATTCAAAATTCGAAAGGGAGGAAGGTGGCCAGACAAACCAAATAACCTTCCAGGAAACAAAATTTACTGGAATGACTCCTGGAATTGCCGAGAGGGCTCTGCAAAGAATCTTTCCAGTGACCGCCTGAGACTGATACTTGGTACTGTTTCAACTATGTGAAAAGAATACGGATTTGAACTCTTTAAAAGGCTATGCTGTTCCCTGTGGCAGATGAAGGCAGTGGCTCTGAGAAAGGAAATTTGAAAGAGGTTTGCCTTTAGAAGACTGCTGGGGGGAGGGGCTAAAGGATGCTGTGTGCACCTGTTGAGGCCTGAAACCCAGTGGCCGGCTATCTAGCTTGTTCTAAGAAAAACCAAATACCCTACTGAAGCGACTTGGAGCTCACAATAGGAGAATATGCTTATATATATTTAACACCGGTATTTAAATGAACAGTTAAACATAAGCTGAAACAGACTGGCAGATCCAAAGCAGAGACAGTGGCCTTGAGCAGCTTGCAGGAGAATAGAGAATAAGCGACTGTAATGTAGAAGGTTATTTCAAGAAACTTAAGTAGGAAGTAGATATTAGTGGATGTTTGTCATTTATACTATACGGCCTTGCTCTTCAAAGTGTTGTCCTTGGACCCAGAGGCACAGCATCAGCAGCAGGTTTGTTAGAAAGGCAAGATCTCAGGCTCCTTCCCAGACCTACTGAACAGTCATCTGCCTTTTCATAAACATCGGGCAATTTGCATGCACAGCACCGTTTGAGAAGTACTGTTGTATGGAGCTTCTCGGTTAATGCATTTGAAAACATAGATCATTGTATGCTTTTCTTCATAATGTTGTGAAGATGAAATGGGGGGAGTTAGGTCAGCTGCCTACTAGTACAATGCGTGGCATGCAGTAGGTGGTCGCTGCATGGTAGCCATTATTGTTAAAAAAAAATCACCACTCTCTGTTAGAAACAGAAAATAACTAGCCTATGGTCCTATACAGCCTGTCAGAACCCTTCTCTTTCTGGATATCTTTGGGAACTCTGTCTGCCTCCTTGACCACAAAACCAGCAGTCAAGCTAAAATATTTCTTGTTCCATTTGGGCTGTCTTCTGAGTCTTGCAGAATTAGCAAGATTTCCTACTTTTTCATTGCAAATGGCCCATGTTTCTAGTGTATTGGAGCTTTAAAAACATTCTTCTGTGGACTGGCCTGGAAATGTAATTCCATTTGTCAATTTTTTTTTCTTCTGTGGAAAAATGCATGTCACCTTCCAAATAATTGGTTTCAGGATGAACTTGGAGAACTTAGACTGCCTATAGGGTAGAAACATGCTAATGGATAAAGTGCTCACAGAGGATTATATAAACCAAATTTAGAATTTCAAAGATGCCTGGGAGGCAAATAAAAAATACTACAAGGAGGGCTAAAGAGACCTCTCAATTGGCAAAGTGCTTACTAGGCAAGCATGAGTCTGTGTTTGATATACAGCATTCATATAAATAGCCAGGTGTAGTAACAGGTGCTTGTAATCACAACACTGGGAAGACAGAGAGAGGTGGATCTTTGGGGCCACCCAGTCTAGCTTAATCTGTGAGTCCCAGGTCCCAGAGAGTCTCAAAAATCAAGGTGGGCTCTCACCATACTCTCTCTTTCTCCACTCCTCTCCTGATCTGTCCTGATCCCCCCGCCCTGTTCCCATCACCTCTTGCCCCGAGTTCACCTGCAAAATCTATTCTATTTCCCCTTCCCAGGGAGATCCAAGCATCCCCACTTGAGCTCTCCTTGTTGCTTAGCCTCTCTGGGGCTGTGGATAGTAGACTATCCTTTACTACATAGCTAATATCCACTTGTGAGTCAGTACATACCATGTTTATCTTTCTGGGTCTGGGTTACCTCACTTAAGATAATTTCTTTTCTAGTTCCATCCATTTGCCTTCAAATTTCCTGCTGTCCTTGTTTTCAACCGCTGAGTCGTATTCCACTGTGTAAATGTTCCATATTTTCTTCATCCATTCTTCAGTTTATGGACATCCAGGTTGTTTCCAAGTTCTGGATATTACAAATAAAGCTGCTATGAACATAGTTGAGCAATTGTTGTGGTAAGATGGAACATCCTTTGGGTATATGCCCAAGAGTGTTATAAATAGGTCTTCAGGTAGATCGATTCCCAATTTTAAGTGATAATAGGGAGCCTGCATTGGTTTGCACTAGGTTCTTTGCATATACCTTATGGTTGTGTAGCTTGGTGTTCTTGTGGGACTCCTAACTATGGGAGTGGAGGATGTCTCTGACTCTTGCCTAAGCTTAGAACCCTTTTCCTCCTACTGGGTTGCTTCATCCAGCCTTGATATGAGGGTTTGTACCTAGTCTTACTGTAACTTGGTATGCTGTGTTCTGTTGATACCCTGGGAGACCTGCTCTTTTCTGAAGGGAAACAAAGGAGGAGTGAATGTGGGGGAAGAGGGGAGTAGGGGGGGGACTTGGAGGAGTAGAGAGAGCAGAAACTTCGGATTGGGATGTAATGCATTAGAGAAGAATAAATAAGTAAGTAAATAAATAAATAAATAAATAAATAAATATGAGTGACTCTTGTGGAATGACCTTTGACCTCCACATGGGCACTCACACACAGATGTACCAGACACACTAGAATAGGCACACAAACACACATTCACAAAAACACACTACTAAAAGAAGTGGAAAATAAGGCAAACAAATCAATCTGAGTTCACAGTATCAAGATTCAGAGAGCTAATAGGAATGGAGCCATGGCTGAGAATGGATATTTTTAAGAACAGCAGCAACAACAAAGCATTTTCTACTATGTTGGGTAAGGTACCACTAATTAGTAGCTTAGGATTTACAAACAGTACTAGAGGCTTTGCAAGTTAAACCTCCGAAATAGTCACCTTCTTCCCACCATACAATTAGCACCTGCTATGGGCAGTTGTCCCCAATCCTATTTACCTCCATATTCTGGCATCCAGCCTTCGAGTTTAAAAAAAAAATACTGCAGTTTTTTTCATACAAAAGTAAGAAGACTTCTATATCGGGTAAAACGGGCTGGCCAGTAAAAATGTGGTTCCAGGATGACGAGAAATGGAAAGCTAGTAATGAAAGGCCATGAAAGAGAGAAGGAGTTGCATCACTTCTCACCAAAATTGGTAGCAGTAAAATGAATCGTATCCAAAGGAGCTCTGGGTTAATGTGGCAGCAAGCCAGCAGTGTCTGATGACCACTATTTATAGATGTCCAGTAAAGTAGCCATGAAGTTCTAGGAAGATACTAAGATTTGTACTAGCTTAAGAAACATGGGTAAAGTAACCAACATAGTGAGGACAGAACTTCTGCCAGCTGTTAGAGGGAGATGGGGTTGGAGTGAAGAACACAGTTGTGGCCTACTGAGACTCTGCCATCTGATCAGAACATCAAAAAGATGTACTCAAGAAAAATGAAGAAAGCTTTTGATCCACTTCTATTGATCAGCTTTCCTCAGCTTGGCGGTGCCGGAATTGTGCTGATGGGAAAATCTGCGTCATGTCTTTACTATACAGAAAATATTCTTGAAGGCAACCAGAGATCTGATCCACTTCTTCCATCATCAACTTCTCTCTTTTCTATATGCAGTTTTAGAAACTGCTACTTGAGCATTCCATATGGCTGGTATCAATGGTGCGGGCCCGAAGTTGTTGTCCGGAACAGCTCTAACTGGAAGCACGCTTGAAGGCATCATATCTGAAATAACATGACATGATAAACTGCACAGTCAGACAAGCCAGAAGATCAAAGAGAAAATGCCATCTCAATCCAGGGGAACCAAAAAAAAGAGCAATACTGTTAACTGCCACCATGTGGTATATAATTGTCATACTCTAGATACTGAGTTAAATACTTAACACACTATACATGATCTTATTTATTTCTCATATCAATTTGTTTAAATTTTTCAGGTAGTTATAACGATGTCTACCCTCTTGAATACTTACTATGCTCTGGGCACTGTTTTTATACAGCTACGAGCTCATTACACGCATGTTTAAGAGGGATTATAAAATGAACTGGAAATCCAAGAATAGTTGATAAATACCTGTAATTCCAATTACTTGGGAGGTTGGAAAAGAAGGATTTCAAGTTCAAGGCCAGTTTAGTGAGGTTCCATCTTTAAAAAAAAAAAAACAGAAGGCTGCCAATAATTAACAAATGGCATGGAATTGAAAAGTTTCTGTACAGTAAAGCAAACTATTGGCAGAGTGAACAGACATCCTATAGAACAGGAGAAAATCTTTGCAATCTACATCAGGTTAATATCTATAATAAATAAAGAATGCCAAAATTACACACACACACACACACACACACACACACACACACACACACACACTTTTTCTCACTCTCTCTCTTTCTCTCTTTCAAACACATACACCAGTCAACAAATTGGCTAATGAAATAAACAGAAAGTTTTCAAAAGAAGAAATGCACACAGTGGACAATAAGTATTTTTTATTAAAGTGTTCAACATCCTTAGACACCAGGGAAATACACATTAAAATTACTTTCAAATTCCATTTCATCCAGTCAGAATGGTTATTGCCCCCCCACACACACACACACACAAAAGCAAAAACACATGCTGGTGAGGATGTGGGCAAAGAAGAACCTTTATTCATTATTAATGGTGGTACAACCTAGTACAGCCACTATCAAAATCTGTGGAGGGTTCCCAGAAACTTAAAAATAGATCATATGACCCAGCTATAGCACTCGAGCATGGACCCAAAGGACTCTATCCTACCACAGAGATTCTTGCACATCCATGTTTACTGCTGCATCATTCACAACAGGGAGGCAATCGAACTAGCATGCATGTCTAACATGGCGTAACACTCAGGAACAGGAGACAGCAGGCTGAGGAGTTCAAGGTCATCCCTAGCTACCTAGGGAGTTGGAGACCGTCTGAGTGATGTGAGAGTCTCTTGGGAGAGGGGAGAGGAAGGAAAGAAGAAAAACAGATTGAAAACTGCTTTAATCTTCCCAATTCATTACTTGATGTTCAATTCAATATGTCCCTTCCAGAAAGGCTTCCTTGAATCTTCCTATGTAAATTAGGTAGGCCCACATTGTGTCCCTTCTATCAACACCTGTGTGTCTTCCTTTCACAACCTTTATTATATGTCTGTTGTGAATGACTCTTTACCTGCTTTTGTTCCCACCCTGAAAACACACAAACACACTAGACTATAAGCTACAGCTGAGAAAATACATACATACATACATACATACATACATACATACATACACACACACACATTAGGACACAATAATAGATAACCTCTGCAAAACAGATCTATAGAGAGTGTGATAGATATGTTAATTTGCTTCATTGAAGAAAATAATTTCACATTTTGTATGCATAACAAAATAACATCGTTTTGTATACAGCACATGCATTTTTGTCAGCTGTACCAAAATAAAGCATAGGAAAATAAATAAAAGCAACTAGGAAAAGGGAAAAGTGTACAAAAAGGGTTTACTGATTCCTGTCTTACAGACTCAGAATTGCGAGTTCTGAACCCACAGAGGACACAGACGTCCTAAGTGTCCAAGTGTGGGTGGGAGCTGCTTTCTCCAAGCGGCTGCCTCTGATGCCCTGCACTTGTGTCTCTGCGATCTTCATGATGAAAAGGATGTGCACACTCCCAGGTACCCATCCCATACTTCATAAAAGGCAGAAGCCTCGGGTATTAGAGCTAAAGATCAGGGGTGACCCGAGTGTTCTGACATACTGGTGGGGCCTCAGCAAGGGGGTTTTTTCATCAAAGTATTTGCTTCTTCACAATGTCTGGAGACAAAAAGAGTTGAGAGCAGAGGCACTGGGATGTCAACAATAGCTGCCCGGGGTGGGAGTCAACGTTCTCTGCGCTATTGAGTTGGTGTCATGAAAATGCACACATAGAAAGGGAAAGCTGAGAGAAAACTTGCTCCTGAGTGGTAACGTTGTGGGTGAGCTGTGAGAATTCATCATCCCGTCCTACGCCATCAGTTTTCTGAAATCATCTTGTATTGCCGTTACAATAAAAACATTTCTTTTCTACAGGCAAACCATGATAACTCTGGCAAATGAGAAACCTGGGAAAGCTCCCTCCTTTCATTCCTTTCCCCATGACGCCCAGTTTCCCCTCTAGAGGTGAGCGCTGTCAGCACTTTAGTAGCAAGCCTTCCACAGATGAGCTATGTTAACTTAAGCCACAGAAAAACGTGCGCGCATTCTGAGCGGTGCAAACCTTACCTGTGACTGAAGGCTGAGAAACCAACTTTAGAGTCATTCAAGAAGATCCAGTTTGCTGGCTGTAAGGGAAGATGAGTGCTCTGAGATGTGACTTCTCTCAAGTCTGCTGTCCTGAGAAGACAAAAATGAGGGAAGGGAAAAGAAAGAGGAGTATTAAACAAACAAGAGGAGAAATTCTTAAGGACAAGGACTCGATACCACTATTACACTCTGACTACTGTTAATACCTCTACGTTATGATTTTAAACATTTATAATGGTGGCCATTTGCTTCACTTGATGAGGAAAGGGAAAGCAACCCTCAATGGAAAACAAGAAACCTGACACACGTGCGCATTTACACACTTTTTCATACAGTTCCCTCACACCTATACACCGCCATATGCAAATGACATTCCCCACATACACAATACCGACAAATGTATATCAGAAATAGGTGAAATATATCCACCATTGCAATAATGCAACTATTATGCATATATTTGAATTTAACCATTCTTATATATTTTTTCATGTGTTATTTATTTTGCTGTGTGTGTGAGAGAGAAAGAGTAAGGGAGAGAGAGGGAGAGAGAGAGAGAGGGAGGGAGAGAGAGAGAGAGAGGTATGAAACTCACATGCTTGCATGTATGATAACTTCAACAGTCACTCCTCATGCACGTCCCTTGTCTGAGGCAGGGTCCTGTGGTTCACCACAGCATGTGCTAGGCTAGCTATCTTGTGGGCTCCTGGGGCTTCTCTCTAGTGTGCAACTTAGTTAGGGTTCTTCTTGATGTTATTTTTTTTAAAAAAAAAAAGCAATTTGAGGTATATATGAATATCAAAGAGCATTGAGCCTATAGTTCACGATCCTAGAGAAGCTAAGTAATAAGAAAAACATATATAGATCTTCCTGGAAATTGGAAGCAGACAAGATCGCCAGGCATAAGTTGGGAGCATGGGGTGGGGATGGGGTAAGGGGAAGCGGAGAGGGGGAGAAGGGGAGAGAGAAGGGGAGGGTTGGGGAGAGCTTAGGGAAGTGGGAGGGTTGAGATGGAGGAAGGGCGGATATAGGAGCAGGGAAGAAGATACCTACATTAAGGGATCCATTTTGGGGTTGGCAAGAGGCTTGGCTTTAGAGGGGTTCCCAGGTGTCCACGGAGATGTCCCCAGTTAGGACCCTGGGCAGTGGAGAAGAGGGTGCCTGAACTGGCCTTGTCCTGTAATCAGACTAATGACTATCTTGAATATCACCATAGAACTTTCATCTGGCGACAGATGGAGATAGAGACAGAGACCCACATCGGAGCACTGGACTGAGCTCCCAAGGTCCAGTTGAAGAGCAGAAGGAGGGAAAAGATGAGCAAGGAAGTCAGGACCACGAGGGTTGTGCCCACCCACTGAGACAGAGTGCCTGATCTAATGGGAGCTCACCAAGGCCAGGTGGACTGAGACTGTACAAGCATGGGATCAAACTGGATCCTCTAAATGTGGCTGACAATTGATAATGGCACTGGGTTTTGATTCTACTGCATGTACTGGCTTTTTGAGATCCTAGTCTGTTTGGATGCTCACCTTCCTAGGCCTGGATGGAGCGGGGAGGGCCTTGGGCTTCCCACAGGGCATGGCACCCTGCCCTCTCTTAGGACTGGAGGGGGAGGGGGGGAGGGGGAGAGGGGAGTGGGAGGGAAATGGGAGGAGGGAAGGAAGTGGAAATTTTGAATGATATTATTTATAAAGCAATAAAAAATAATCTGCTGGAAAAAAAACCAACTTGAGGAGGAAAAAGTTTATCTAGCATTTCCAGGTAACACTCCATCAGGAAGCAAAGTCAGAGCAGGGACTCAATGTAAGAACCTGGAGGCAGGAATGGAAGCAGAAACCATGAAAGAATTCTGCTCGAAAAAAATAATGACATCTTGAAATTTGCAGGCAAATGGATGGAGCTAGAAAACATCGTATTGAGTGAGGTGACCAGACCCAGAAAGACAAATATCATATGTACTCACTCATAAGTGGTTTTTAAACATAAAGCAAAGAAAACCAGCCTACAAAACACAATCCCAGAGACAACAATGAGAACCCTAAGACACACACACACACACACAAATGGATCTAATTTATATGGGAATTAGAAAAAGACAAGATCTCCTGAGTAAATTGGGAGCATGGGGACCATGGGAGAGGGTTGAAGGAGAGGGGAGAGGAAGGGAGGGGAACACAGAAAAATGTAGAACTCAATAAAATCAATTTTAAAAGCCAAAAAAAAAGAATTATGCTTACTGGCTTGCTCCATTTGTTTTCTCACAACCTGTGATGCTTTAAATGAGTCAGCCTCCCATAGGCTCCCATATTTGAATGCCTGGTCTCCAGTTGGTAGGACTGTTTGGGAAGGATTAGGACATGGAGGAGGTATGTCACTGGGGTTGGCTTTGAGGTTTCAGAAGTTCTACCACTGATTGTTCACTCTCCCGCCCCCCCCGTGTGTGTGTGTGTGTGTGTGTGTGTGTGTGTGTGTGTGTCTATCTGTCTGTCTGTGTGTCTGTCTCTCTATCTCTATCTTTCTCTCTCTTTCTCTGTGTGTGTGTGTCTGTCTGCCTGTCTGTCTGTCTGTCTGTCCGTCCGTCTCACTACCTCGTGCTGATGAACCAGATGTAAGCCTCCCTGCCTGCTGCCATACTCCCTGTCATGGTGGTCATGAATCTTACCACTCTGAAATTGTAAGCAGCTTGGCCCCAAGTTAAATACTTCCTTTCATAAGTTTGCTTTGTCATAGTGTCTGTTCACAGTGATACAACACCCTAAGAACCAACTACTCAGTAGCAAAGAATAGTGTAGTACCACCTACTCCGGGGGTAGCACCACCCACAATAGACTGGGCCCTCCCACATCAGTCATTAATCCACAAATGCTCAACAAACTTACCTTATAGATGCATTTTATCAGTTGAATTCTCCACTCTCGGATGACCCTAGCTTGTATCAAGCTGACCAAAACAAAAAACCTCTCATTCGCACAAACTCTCATCTTCCTGTAGGGCACTGGAATGCAGTTCTGTGTTAGATTTTCTGGAATCCGAAATTTTGTGGTCAGGCTTGTGTGAACAGTGCTTTCCAAACTCCCCAACCCTTCTATCCCTTAAAAAGCAAATTCCTGGCTTGGCCCTTTCCAGACCTGAGCCAGTGGAGGACACAGATGGGTCCACCAAGACTTCTTGGGGTGGGGGCACAATCAACCAGGAGCCCTGAGCACTGGGTGGTCAGGCACCATCATACCAAGCGCCATCCAAGGTTTCTAGGCCCAGGCACTCAAGAGAAAAAAAAAACCTGACAGTTCTGTGCCATGCATTGAAGCTGGTGTGGGCAGGACTCAACCAAGCACCACCTACAACCCAACCAAAATCCCTGGAGCCGGGCAGACTGTCACCATTATAGTGAGTGAGCACAAAATGGGGAAATAGAAGGGGGGGTCAAAAGGGTTCATGTACTGGGGAGAGAGGTGGATCTGAAGAAGTGATGGTAGTGAGGAGCAAGCTGAGGCAAATGACCTGCTAGACACCTGAGTCCAAGGTGATGTCCAGGCCAGTGGCCAGGTCTTGGTCCAAGGCTCTGAAATAGCCCAAAGGGCCCTGTATTGATACCTGTGGCTCCTGTCACCACTGAAGGCCATGCAGAGGTATGTAGTCTTGGCCACTACCTGGGGTCATGGTGACATCCTGGCCTGGGCTGCTCCTAAGGACCATGTCTGGTTCCATGGTCCTACCACAGCCAGGGTCTGGATTCATGTCCCTATCCCATGTTATCACAAAAGGCCAAATGGATACCCAGGGTCTAGGCCACAACCTGTGGCCATGTAATGTCTGTGGGCCATGCTGCCACAAGGGTCATGCTGACCTAAGTGACCTGTGCTGTCACCTAAGGGTCATGGTGTGCTCTTGACTAGGGCTGCTGCCAAAGGCCATGTCTGGGCCTATCAACCCAGCTGCTGTGGAACAGGATTAGTTCTCTCTGTCCCGTAATCCCTGGGGCCAGTTCTCTCGCCTGCCATAGGTGGGCAAGGGGTGAACGGCATCTTTCTCTCACCCATGCCGCCACATGACCAATGAGGGGGTGGCATCGGTCAGGGCCCTTTGGGCTGTTTCAGAGCCTTGGACCAAGACCTGGTCACTGGCCTGGACATCACCCATCACCTTGGACTCAGGTGTCTAGCAGGTCATTTGCCTCAGCTTGCTCCTCACCACCGTCACCTCTTCAGATCCACCTCTCTCCCCAGTCCATGAACCCTTCTCTCTCTCTCTCTCTCTCTCTCTCTCTCTCTCTCTCTCTCTCTCCCCTATTTCCATGGCTCCTGTTACCACTGAGGGCTGTGTGGATGACTGAGGTCTGGTCAGCCACCTGAGACCATGTCGGTATTCGAGGACCATGCTGCTGTCCAGGCCATACTGATCTGAGTAGCCCATGGTGATATCAGCACTCTAGTCAATGCCGAGGCTGCAGCTGGGGTCTGTGATGGTGTCCATGGGCCATGTTAGCACAGGGACTCATTGGAACTCCGCTGTGTTGAGCCAGTCTCGCCCTCTGTGGCCCTGGGATGGCTGTCCCTGCCCATCACTGGGTACTGAAGCAGAAGAATTGGATAGCACCCTAGAGCTGACCCTGTGGTCAGGACACAGGCGAGTTGACTTGCCCACTCCCTCATTGGTCATGTGGTGGCATGGGTGAAAGATGCCGTCCACCCCTTGCCCACCTGTGGCAGGCAAGAGAGCTGGCCCCAGGGATCACAGGACAGAGAGAACTAATCCTGTTCCACACCAACTGCAGCACACAGAAGTGCAGGCCCTGCTCTCTGGCTGGGCAGCACACTAGAGCTGACCCTGTTGGCCTGGATTCAAGTGAACTAACCCTGAAGGCATGAGAGCAGGAGAGCTGACCCCACTCTCCACCCCCCCACATTCCCCCTACAACAATCAAGAGACAGGGCCTTCCACCTGGGTGAACACAGTCGAACTGGCCCCTGGTGTGAGGGTGAGGAACCCGAGTCTGAGGGCCCAAGAGCAAGAGAACTGTCCTGCTCGACGTTTTCTGTAGGTTGCATTGCACCAGTGAGCTAGCCAAGACAGTGCTGGAGAGCTCGCCCAGGTAGGGACAACGAGGGAGAGAGCCGGAGGGCTGGCCAACTCAGCTACCGGC